CAACAAGCAGGACCAGACTGCAGCAACTGGAAGACCCTATTCCTTGACAAATGTCATTTTGTGTGCGAGGAGGCTCTGCATGCATCTTTGGCAACAGCGAGTTCAGAAGCGTGAGCTGAATCCCAGACTTGCTTTTGAATTTGAAGTTTAAGAACGAATGTTTTTGTCAGCTGGCTAAATTTTTGCTGTGCAGTTTGTCTATTTGTACTACTGTGAAAATATTTTTATTTACAATGGTATTTCCCTTGGGAGATGCTTTATCTCCAGAGTAACTTCCCTGAGAGTGGTTTCAAAAGTCTGTGGGGAATACTGCATCTTGTTTTGCAGTCTTCAAATGCCCCTTTGTAAAGCAAAGATGCTCTTCTTTTGCTGGGACTATTTTTGCCCTGACCTGGCACCTTCTTATTGTCTGAAAAATGGACAAAGCCCACTAAGTGTGCTCAAAGATTTGAAAAAGACAACACAGACTTCCTGTAATTTTGTCAAGTGAAAAAACACTAGATGGGACATAGCATGGCAACATCTTGGAGCAGCTCTGTGACAGTGGAGAATGGCTACTGGCAGAGAAGGAGGGAAAAGGACAATTTTTTAAGAGGGTGAGACAGGAATAAGGTTGCTTGAACAGCTGGGGTTGTTGAGCATCAAGATGATGGAAGGATGTTATGGAAGCAGAGGCAGGAGGAGCAGAGACAGAGCCAGATCCTCAGCTAACATTGCTGGGTATTTTGGGAGTGCTTCCTGAGAGTGCTTTCTGTATATAAACAGATGAGGTTCCAGGAGGCAGCGGTGAGGGGGAGCAGAGTAACTCAATGATACTTGTACTGCAAATAGTACATTGCAAAGAGCAAATTGTTTGACTTTATTAAACTGCAGCCTCCTGCAACAGATCAAGGGTCTGGTTTCTAAGCAAAATAATTGTAGCCTAAAGAAAACTTAACTGTTGAAAGTCCCACAGGCCCTAGATTCCTGTTTGACTTGGCTTCAGGAGATGCATATACTGTTTGAACCTGAGACTATGAAGTAAATTTGCAAAGCACAAGCTGTTTTCAAACCTCTTCTCACAGTAACACATAGCTTAGCCTTGTTATCAGAAAAATACAGGACAAAGACAGTGGGAGGAGGATCAAGTCTGGCAAGTGGACTTAACAATGCTTTGCAATTCTGGAGGGAATGGCAGGAGCTGGGCAGACCTGATCTAGGTGTCAGGCTATGCAGCAGAATGTTGCCTTTGTGAGCAGTGCTAAAGTTAAAGCAGAACTCAGAGCCACAGGCTAAATTGCAACAGGCCAGTGTAATGCAGAACCAGGGTTCTGCCTGTGAGACTGCTTCCCTCCATCCTTGCTTACAGCAGTAGGGAGTTATTTAGGGCACTGTACCTAAAAAGTGGCCCTGTGTATGCTGGAGGTCATAAACAAAATCATTAGTCTGGAATGTGGCCCACTTAGACTTGTCCAGGGGCTTGGTACTCAACCTGAACAAGTTAGTCTTGGTCACACTTAGTTTTTCAGCTTTGTGGTCTATTCTGGTTCCAGTTCAGAGGGGAGTTTTTTGGATTTTATTTTTTTTTTATTTGTCTATAGAGGCAAAAGCCATGAATTTAGATGGTCCCATAGGATGGCCATCCTTGCTGCAGCAACCCCAAAGCTACCTGTGCAAGGAGAAATGAATTAATGCACCTGCAAGGAAAAGGCTGACACTCAGCTGTTGCCACTACACATGGTGATTACCGGGGCAGTGTCCTGGCTGACATTTCTTTCCATGGGAAACCTGTGCTTGGCACCGTCTCTTTCCATGCAACTTGTTGAAAATTTCTATCCTCCCTTCCCTTGGCTCCTTGCAGAGCAGATTTATGGTCTCATTTTCCTTTTACAAATAAAAGTCTAAGTGCAAATCCAAAGGATAAATAACACAGTGCAGACATGCCCATGGCAATATTCTCTGTATTTATCATTGCTGAAAGTCTGAGAGGGAAAGCTGGTGAAGGCAAGATATCTTGTGTGAGGAAACTGTTCTCATGCTTTTGTGCCAGTTCTGGAGGCTGGAGAGCAATCCTGTTGTGCTTTTCTCCAAACATCCTGCTGCAACTCAGGCAAACTCCAGGTGCTTTGTCTGCAAAAAGGCACTAAGGCAGCCCCATCCTCCCTCACAGGATTACTGTGTGGAAGGTATACCAGCTCCACCTCAGTGCTCGAGGTTGTTCCTTCATAAGCACACAATGGACAGTTGTTCATATATCAGTGTTTGCTCTGCAAAAGGCAGGCATGGCAATGATGGTAGCATCACTGCCCCTCTGTGCATTAGTGTATCTGTTGTTCTGATTGCTTCCACTCTGCCTGCAGACTCAACTGACATGGCTTTGGCAGGTAATGCTTAGTCAGGGTACTGGGCAAGTGTGGTTACAGCAGGTGGTTTGCAACTCTGGATCTTGAAATTGTAGCACAAGATATACCTGGAACCACCCCCATATTGTTTTCATTCTGCCTTAATTCCAGCTGTAATTTTAAGAGGCTTTTTGTTTGTTTGTTTGTTAACTAAGCACAAGAGGCAATAATCCTCAGTGTGCAGGATGTGGGTCAGAGATTAGGACTCTTTAATTGTCATCAGCTATGGAGCCTGCCTCTGCATCCCTGCCAGCCCATCTGCATGATATTGCAGCCCTCAGGCAGAGGGGACGTAATGATGAGCTCAGGTACAGTCATCTCCTGGAGGGTGGAGAAACTGGAAGGAGTTTGGAGGATCTGTCTCACATGGTCTGAACTTCAGAGCAATGCAAAGCAGCTGAACTAGCACAAGCACCTCTAGAAAGGGATTTTTTTTTTTGTCCTGGGATTGGAAAGTTACTTTATTGTCTTCAGGTCAGTGTTTATGACTTCTTGTTTTTCGTTATGTAGTTGGGTTTTTTCCCCAGGTTGAACAGGAAGCCTCTACTATACACCTGTAATGGTGACAACCAGCCAGAAGTCCTTCTCTGCCAGTGCCCTAGCTGTCCTGGCAGGCTACAGCTTCAGACAGATTTATTGATCCCAGATGCAAGTCATGCATGGCAGGACAATCTATGGCCTGCCCTGGCCAGCTGAAATAGTCCCACAATGGCCAACAGGCCTCAGATGGGGTAACTTTAGGCTCAGTCACTCTGACAAGTTGTTCACTTTAAATTCTGCCCTGCAATCACAGATGTTTCCATATGTGCAACTTGCTGGAAATTATGACTTGTCCTGACAGGCTCAATGAACAGAGATTTTGGACTGTTGTGTTTCATACACCCCTTGTGCTTTAATATAGTGCCATTTGGCTTGGCATGGGCTGAGTTACAGAGGCTTGGAGGGAGTGGTTAGTAAAGTAACTGAAAAGACTACTCAAAAAACAACTTCAGCATGGTCTGCAATAAAAAAGGAACCCCAGACAGACCAAGGTGGAAGAGACCCAAATGCCAGGAGTGGTTCGGTCACCATGTTCATTGAAACCTAATCTCCTTGCTGTGGCAGGCAATAAGAGGCCTGTGAAAACTATAACCTCACTGATTTTTTTCCATCATTAGCTATTACCTCCCTTCTGGCTGCTTACTCCAGTCTCAAAGGATGGGAGCCTTTCTGAGGGAAGACCCATGCCTCTGTTCCCTGAGAGGAAATTAGTCTGTAGCATTGCTTGTGTTTTACTTAATATGTTTATAAAAGTGGAAACACCACCTGAATTTCTCTGTAGACTCTGCAGGGAAATCATGTTTCCATATTGCATTATGAGAAATGCAGTGGAAGTGTGCTATGCTCAGTTAATATTTTTAACGTATAGAGGCAAAAGAAACTTCAGAAGAAGTATATGCTTCCCTCTTTCTATTCAACATCCATGGTGCTATAAATACAAACTGCAGGGTACTTTCAGAACTGTGAGCCTTTAAGACTTCTCGAGGGAAAACATCGCACCAAATTAATCTGCCGTCAAGTGGAAATTCTATATTGTTTGCATTTGCCAATGTTCTGTATGTGGCTGTAATTGCACTAAAGCAAATATCTGCTTCGAGTTCACAAGATTAAATGTGGCCAATTGGGCATAAAAGAGTAATTGAAATGCAGAGCTGCTGCTTTGGATTTGTTAGAAGCATTGCTCATTTTCGCTCTGACATGACGACACAAGGTTCTGACTTTCTGTTAAAACAGGGAAATTTGGGGAATGTGATTTAGAGTGTCAGTTTGCAAGCTAAGAGGAGGACGTTTCTGCCTGACACTGCTGCTGCCCTGCAGTATGCCCATGGGCAGTGTGCCCTGAGAGTGCTCCTTGCTTTACACGTGCAAGGGTTCACCTTCCTCCCCTCTGACCAGCTGTCAACAGCCGTGCCCCGGGGTGCAGCATCTGGTTGGGACCTCCAGCATTGGCTTCTGAGGATTTCATGGTCCTTAAGTCCTGAGTGTTTGCCATAGATTTGAAGGTAAAAGGACTTGTGAAAGTCCAGCAAGAGCCTCCATGGCTTGTAACAGACAGAGGCCAAGGCCCGAGTTGGATCCTGACTAGTGTCACCATGTCAGACCAAAGGAGCATGTCAGCTTGCAAAACCTGAAGACTCGCCCTAAGCCAGCTGGATGTGAAATGTTATTTGCTTAAAAGCCTCATGCTTTTTTTTCCTTTTTACTAGTTTAGCCATTTTCCCTCTTGCCATATAAATGCAATTATAAGCAAGTAAAAAATATTTTTTCAAGTTGACTGTGGTGCCTTTTAATTCTGCATGAAAACCCAACTGCTCCCTATGCCCTGCCCAACAGGTAGTTAAATAAACAGGCCCAGGTGAGCAAAACTGCCAGTTTGAATCCTTCTTTATTTCATTTTCTTTCCAATTAGTGGACTTATCCAAAAAATACATACCTAACAGCTCCTAACAGCAGGCTTGTGCTCAGCCGTTTCCTAAAGAGTTTCTCAGTGAGCCACAGAGCAGTCCTGACAGCATCCTTGCAGTCTTCAGTGAGGGCAGCATCTCTTGGTCTGGTGCCAGGAGAGATGCCTTCTTGGTGCTAGCAGGCCTCTGCTCCTCTGCCTGTCCTTCTTCCTAACCGGAGGTCCAACTCCTGAAGCTGCTTGAGGAAGCCAGAGTTGGGGCAGATCCCTCTGTGTGAGCGCACAGTCTGAATTGCATTGGTGAGGGACATACCTTCGCAGATCATTAGGAAAGCAAGGACAAGAGTTGCAGATCGACTGATCCCCATGGCACAGTGAACCAGTACTTTGCCTAGAAAAAGGACATATGCAATTATGCCAGTGGGCCAAATGGTGGGAGTTACTGTGTTGGAGCAGAGATGGGAGCTGACACTGGGGATGAGCACACAGGTGTGCACAGCCCTGCAGAGCACACCTGGTGCAGTGCTGGTCGGGGAACACAGGGTTTCTAGTAGCCAGGCACAGAGAACTCATAATTGTGTTCCAGGATCTGTGATTGCTTGTTTGAGCTTAACTGTCAGCCTGACAGCATGCCCTTATCCCTCTTGCCCAGCCTGCCATCTATTGTGTCCCTGCTTGCTCATGTGTGGTGTTGGGAGTCGTACTTGCTGGCAAGGCTTCAAGTGTTTGCACTTGAAGGCCGTGCTGTGCGAAGCAGCCTTGGCAGGTTTCTTACTACCAGAGGGCTTGGAAACTTCAAATTTCAAAAGTGCAATGCTCAGGAGTGCTCACTGCTCTTACAGGAACACTCCTGGTTTTCCACAAGCTCTGTATGATTTTTTGCTTAGGGCAGTAATGCTTTCCAAGGGTGCTGACTGCCTGCCCAGATCTTGTTGGAAGCATGTGAGGAAAATGGGTGTTACTGCTAAGAACAGCTCCTGTTTGTGTATGTCATTGGCACCAGCTTACTTATGTTTTTTTTATTTCTATAGCCTACCCTGCATGAGTCATTATCCTTCCCTAACACCTTTATCTTCCCTTCTGTATTAGGTGATGACTGCAAAACAATTTATGAAATGTTTTTAGTTTCCCAGAGATTTCAATGCAAGGTGTGCATCTTCATTGGGAGTTCATTAAGAGTAATATACTAAGTCCTTCCATGTTGTTAAAACCAAGCCTCAGGGAGCAACTTCCAGGCATCCAGGAGTATAGTTCCCTCCTTCCCTCTGCTTTGCTTTTGGTTTTTCTGCTGTGATCACAAACAGAAACAGATTAAGAAGTGCAGTTCCATGACGGCTTCCCACGTTTCTAATGTGTGACTTTGACCCATGCTGGAAGGAGATAAACATTTTTTTTAATGGTCTTATTGAAATTAAAGGAAGTCTTTCTGAAGGGATTGCTTTCGGATGGAAAATTTCAGGTCCTTTCCCTCTGGATGGTGAATGAAGAACTCGTTCTGGAACCTGAGAATTTGCATCTGCTGCATATTGCAAAATGCTTCCACTTTCACAAAAAGGGTATGATCAATGAAAAATTTTTAATTGGGGAAAACATTTTCTTTGTTCTACTTAATTATAGCCATGCCTGAAAATTTTCAAAGTCGCATATACTTTTCTGCAATCAGATCTATTTTTTTTTCACAGAGACCATGGCTCAGCAATTGGGCATTATTAAGGTAGCAAGTGATTTGAATCAGGTTTGAACTTCTGACCACCTAATGGACATCTCTGTCTCTCATTAAGGCAGCTGAGAAAAAAATTTTGACTTTTTAGCATGAAAATTTCAGCACACTTCTACACTGGAAATTTTCACATGTTTGACACAAAACAGTGTCTGCTTTTTTTACATTTTAAATTTTTTAGACTACCAGATTTGTGGTCTCTTGCTCACTAATTTTACAGCTGTACAAAATACAATTTAATGACAATATAATTTATATCCAGGAAAAAAAAAAAAAGATTAAAAATCAGTAAAACCAATCCCACATTGGTTTTTCTCCTTTGAAGATCGACTAAACTATTTCAGATGCTGCTTTTCTGCAAAATGTAAGGAGAGATAGAACAGACAGCTTTTCAGGGCTAGTTCCTTGTTTTGTTTGTGCTTACAGCATCTTAATTTCTCTATTACCAGGGAGCAAGACAAAAATATCCTTGTTGGATGATGAGCCTAGATCCAGACAAAAACCTCAGACTGATTGCCCTGTCTCCCCGGGTGTTAATTCTGGGTACTTTGTGCACAGCTTTTAATCTTAAATCCCATTTTGTTTATGACAGAGTATTTATTTAGCAACCATTTTAGTTCTGACTAATGATGATGGCATAGCCACATGCTTGGAGAGCATGAGCATGTGTTGTAAAAACCTGCTCTGGCCAGCAGGTTGAGAGAAGTGTTGAATTCCACAATGTATGTGACACAGCCACCTCTCATTATCCTGGCATGAGAAATCTGAGCGCAGCCCTAAAGATAGACATGTCTTCAGTAGAAATAAAGGGACAAATATAGTCTCCGAGGAAGTGGTGAAAACAGCTCTGGTGACAGCAGAGTTGGACTGGGCATCAAAACCTTTGCGAGAAGGAAGAGGTTTTTCCAACATAATGCCAGTTTTGCAGAATTAGAAGATCGATTGATTTCTATTTGTGTTTTCTCATTAAGATACAGCTTATAGAATATACTGAGTTATCAATGCCATTATTCAAGTTAAACGGCATCTATCTGTCAATTCCATTAACTCCATGGGAATTCTTGGAAGTCAATTCCTAGTTTTTTATGGGAATATGGAGAAACGTTTTGCAGTCCTGCTAAAAGACTCTGCTAATTTGAATTTCCACCAGACTTCTTCTTCCATGCGCTGCACTGTCATTAGCCTTCCCACCAACCTTGTAGTGTATGTACGCTGTATTAGCTTCCCCAGAGGAGGCACTTCAGACCCAAATAACCCTGGTCTGAGATTTTTCAGAGGAGCATAAAGTAATCAGAAGCACAATTTCTCTTTGAAAAATACTGTGAATAGGGCTAGTCCAAAAGATTTTTGAAAAATCTGTGCTTCAGTCGTTTGCAGTAGGCCTAACTGCAACATAGTGGCAGGGACTGGAGAAATCCAGACATTCACCCTAATGTCAGATAACAGAAGCCAAGGAACAGCATGTTCTGAAAAAATTTCTTGGAATCAGAACTGCTTCTTTGTTGTTTGGGGATTTTTTTCTTTGTCTGAACACTTCTGAGCTACCACCATTCTACAACTGAAGGAAAAAGAATTTATGATTTGAGCTGCATCAGGAGGGTCCTTTTTCTTTTCCCACCCAGATGGAGACTTCTGCCTTGGAAAATGCTCAGCCCCACCTGCAGCCTCAAACTGAAGACCAAGTTGAGCACAGGTATGGATGCTGCCATTAAATATTGCCTGTTGTGCTTTTGTTGGAGACACAGAAAGCAGAAGAAATTCCAGGCTCCTGCTTGTACAGGCTGGCTCTCTACTGTTTTATGTCTAACTCTGTCTGAGAGGAGGAGGTGTCCAGTAAGTATACACTGAATTTTCTTCCCTGCATCTCTGCACTTCAAAAGAGTCCTCCTGTATCAGCAACTAGCTTTAGAAGGTGTCTCAGCAAAAACCAGGACAAGCCCCAACTATTGACCTTGGACCTAATCTGCATGGCTCTCTAATACATTTGTTCCCATGAGGCTGCAGGTATATTATCTATTTCACATGTGCCATATCTATTTCACATTGTTAGCCTTTGTTTCACCATGCACAGAGGTTATGATAAATGCTGGTAGACTGACAATAAAATGACTTGTTTGTTTCAGATAAATCAGTCATGTGAAATGATTTAATTAACGTAAAATTGCTCTAATGAAAGCAGATTTGAATTCACTGTGTGATTATTTGTAGCAAACAAATTGAATGTTAAACTTGAGTAAGGAAGCAAAAGCTATGTTGTTATTTGGTTCTGTTTACAGGCTCAGACCTGCCTCTTAGCAGGAGCTGTAAATGGGCTAAGTGACACTGAACCCCACATGATATGCTGCATTTGCCCAGCACCTGAAGCACATCTGCACCCTGTGGGCTCACTGCGGTGGGCGATAACAGCACATTCCATCAGCCTCTTGCAGGAGGCAGGTGAGATGTACAGTCCCATCACTGAGGCTTGGATTCCTGAGTGGCTGCTGGACCACAGCCTGGGAAAGCAGCGTTCACAGAGGCACTTGTGGTGCATGTGGTGGGCAAGGAGGTTATGACCACATCTTCTGTACCACAGAGTCCATGACACAAGCTGCCATCCTCCAACTCTGCCTTCTCTACCCCCATTTGATTCAACATACAAAGAGAGTTGGGCTGGTCCCACATTAGAGAGCCATGTGGCAACCTTCTCTCTGAGCATGAAACAGGATCCCTTAGGAATAATGGGATTAACTGAGGAGAAGTGGGGTCACTTAGCTTCTGGCATTATTAAATCTTGCAATCCTTATTTGAAATTTTGCACCACACATCTCAAGCTACTTTTTGCAGAGGCAGACAATGACTGTCATCTGGCTGGGATTTGTGCAGAACAATAACACTTGGTTTTTAACAGCGGATTATGGATATTCTATCCAGCTCATGCCTGCTGTAACTCTGCTAACATCAAAGGGTTTGCACTAGGGATAAAGTTTGCACATTCAACTTTGTTGGCCAAATTCAAGTTGGGAAATTCAATGTTGTTGAACAAATCAGTCATTAAAACACATAATAACTTATTGTCCTTTTGCTAATCATCATTAACTGAGCTAAATGTCCTGAACTAGCCCTTCTTTTCTTGCAGGATGGATTCAATTTGGCTTAAGGCCAGGCTCCAGATCTGTCACTCATAGCAAATGCCCCAGTTGCCCTTGCTCCATTGGATCCAGTAGAAGTATGCTGCTCCCCCAGAGGAGAGCTCACCTGGGCTAGTGGGCCCCAGGGCCTCTTCCCACTCCACCATGGTTTTCTCATCTCCTGTTAGGTTTTAGCCAGGTGCACAATCCACTGTCTCTTTCTTAATTATCTATTCTGTAGTAGCTGAAAATAGCAAGAAGCCTATGGAGAGCTTGTCCCTTCTTCCCATGCCTCTGGAACAGGTAAAAACTGTCATCTGCTGGAGAGTGGGAGGTCAGACCAATGAATGTAATGCACCTACAGTGGAGTCAAGAGAGAAGACCCTCTTCTCCAACGTTAAACTGCTTTCGTAACGCTCACCAACAAGAAGAGTGCTCCACTGAAGTGGAAGAAGGTAAATGCTTTTGAGAAAGTTTGCCATTTCAATAAGTTAATGGGTGGTTTTATCTTGCCTGTTTTAAAAATGTTCAGAGGTCAATAAAAGGAGAAGGTCTCTACTTGGGAATCTTTCTCTCAGCAGTGTTAGCTTAATAGTTTTCATGATATGCTTCTATCAAGTTCTTTCTCTCCCTCTTCCACTAGATTTTACCAAACCAATTTATGTTAGGTTTAGCTGCATTCCAGAAAAGTGCAAATTGTACAGGCAGCCATGCAAAGGGTGAAGATTGATACTGAAGGTATTGCCCTTTGAGTACAAGCATGAGGGAGATGTCCAGTATTTTCCTGACTCCATGTTTTACCTTGTAGAGTAGAGGCAGATTATGCATCTGCTCACTCTTGTCTGAGCCTTCCCAAACAGCTCTGTTACATGGGCAAAGAAAACAGCTGAGCTGTGCTGAAGGAAAGGCAGCCAAGGATGCAGGATGATAAAATGATGTTTACAAGGCATGGCTGCAATAGTGGTGCCTCCATGTCCTAATCCGTACAACAAAGGTGATGAAGTCAGTCAGGGTGTGATGCAGCCATTGACCACTGTGACCTAGTTTGGAGCATGTGAGCACACACTCCCCTGCTTCTTTTTGCTCACACTCTGGCATCCAGGTTTCAAGAAATTGCCTTAAAAATAAATTCCTTACATCACCAAAGACATATTTTGTTCAGCTAAGGTAGAAACCTGGAATAAATCTGTCCAGGCTGGTTTTTGGACTTCTGGTGTAAAACATCAGAATTTTTTTGCAAGCATGATGGGAGTAACAGTTGTTTCTAATCCGAATGAGTATTGGACTCATAGTTTTGAATACATTTGTGCCTCATGCAGTCTTTACTTTGACTTCATATCCTTACAGGCAAAAAAAATTAATATATTTCTGTTTTAAAAAAAGTTATTGAATTTGCTTGTAATAGTTAAGCAGCCACTCTTAAATAACTTCTCAGACAAACAGTAGTACCTTGTAACATCCTGATTTTAATACGAACGGGCCTCTTGTCACCTGGTTGATTGGTTGTTTGGTGTTTTTCAACATCACTGCTTATAATAAATGCTATTTTTTTTCATTTTCTAAGTGATGTGAGTGACAATCCTCTCCCTGTCTTATCCCTGCACAGGTTATTGGCATTTAGCTGCTAAATTTCTGTACCTCAGGACATTACGCTTCCAGAATATCTTGTTTATATATTTTCTAAACTGTTGCACTTTCCTTAAAATGATGAATGTCAGCAACAGCTGGACAGTATATGATTAAATTTCACCTTGTCTCCATTCCCAGAACCCTGCTTCCATATGGAGATCAGTCAAGCAATATTAAAAGCCTGGGAGTAGGGATAAATATGCCTTGAGCCGTAACTTGTTCTGCATTCATAACTTTTTTAATGTTTGGGCATGCATTTTGCAAGGCACTGGTTTTGTTTGCTTTTGTGGCTAACACAATTCGTCTGTTGTTTTCTGTCTTTTGTCAATTGATTTGGAACACACACATGAATAGGTTTTGGATCTTACCTTTCTCTGGAGCATGGCCAATAAGTGCAAACACCGTATGCTGTAATAGAAGTGGGTGCAGATCCAAATTCCCCAAAGATGTTAGTGGTTTTGAAATCCAAATGCAGCCCTCAGTTGCACAAAGGCAAGTATTTTCTAACATTATAGATCAAGCCCTCCAAACAGCAGTAAACACAGAGGTATCTAGCATGCAGGTACACTGTGTGCAGTTACTGGGTCTCGCCTTCCTAGCTTATATGGTGTGGATCAGATCTATTAGCTGCATATGATTAAGTTGGGTAGTTAGTACTACAGGACCCTGATTGATATTAAAGCTCACCATGATGCAAACAAAACAGTTTGCTGAGTGTATAGCTGTTCTCGTAAATCACTTACTTTGAGTAGCATCTGTACAGTTTTGAGGCACAGTGGAGACTTGCTTTTGTAAAGGTTTGCCCTTAGTAGTAATGAGCCCCCATTAGCCCCAGGCATCTAGCTTTGACCTGGCCCGTGTTTAGTGAATCCAATGATTTTGTGGGTTATCTTCCTATTTCAAGGTTATACCTTTTAAGCAACGGCATGACGTTATTCCTGGTTGGTGGTGTTCCTTAAGTTTTCTTCTACAGAATTGCTTTCTAGCAAGTTCTTCCCTTTCTTGTGCTTATAGTACTTGCACAATTGTAGCATTATAGTTGAATCTCCTTACTCAAATATGATGCTTGCCCTTGTCTTTTATTTTAAACCCCATCGCTAATTTGAAAAGATCAAATGCATGTGCCTTCCTCCCAGGTCAGTGTGTTCCTATAGGAAATAAAGGATACTTGCTATTTTGTCTTTTGCTAATGAATAACACTAGGCATAGGGAGAACCTCTATTTGAAAGCCTGTTCAGAGCATCCCTGTTGCAGGGGAACTGTGGAACTTCCACTCACTGTAAGAGATCAGGAGCCAGGTAGGATGCTACTGGGTTTGGGCATCTCCTTTCTTACCTATATGTGTAGGTTTATGTCAAATAGTATTTGATAACTTGCCCTGTGTGTCTGCTGTACAGGAGACATGCAACATGCACAGGTCGTCTAGTTACCTCTTGGGGAATTCAGTGCTGCTCTGATGTACTCGGCAACTGGGTAGAAGTAAATGCTGAGATCAAAGCTTGGGTTGTCCTCTGCTTCTATTCCATAGTAATCCACAGGCAAGTCATGATAAAACTTGGGTCCAGTGTCAATGCGAAATCGCCCTGCAGCAGCGTTCACAACGTGGGAGATGCCCATTCGGCTCAGCTGCTCTTTGTCACGAGCAATGTACCTGGAAGAAAGATGGTGAGTTATATTTGCCTGCTGCACTGCAGCGTGGGGTAGAATATGCTGCTGCTGCTGAGTTTGTTAGAATTGCATGAAGTTGTAGTGGCTATTTTCTGACAGGTTCATTGGGTCCAAAGTGTCCATCAAAGTGCTTTGAGACAGAAGTGACTTGTTAAGAGACTGACTTTTAGATTTCCCAAATTTTTTTCCAAAACATCTGTTTAGGTGGTTCTTCTCAACGGATGAAAGGCAGTGGTGGGGATATTTCTGCACAAGCTAAGATTTTTCTGGTTTGCTTTCTCACTAAGTCACCTCTGCTGAGCATCCATCAGTTCAGGGGACTGATGCCATCAGGAAATATGAGTTAAAAATGAGATTGGTCCTGTTTTACCCAGCTCTGGCATGACTGCCTAAAGTACTGATGTCTCCAGCGGCCTCTTGCAGTGTGGGACTCCTGTACTCACGCAGGAGGAGAAATCAGGAGGGGAAATATTCTTTCTGGTTACTTAGGATGCCTTTTCTCTATGCTACAGTGTCCTATGTGCTGTTCAGCCTTGTTCAAATTAGTGCTGAGCTCTCTTTTTTTTAAAATAAAGAGCAGATGGTTTTGGGGGGGACTAAGAGTTGCAGTAACACCTTCAACCCTTCCCTCTCTCTTACAGGTCTCCCACATAAAGGTTTGGCCAGACTTCATCCACGTGCCCTGTGGGGTGTGTACGTATGCAGAGCAGGCGTCGCAGCTCCTCCAGGGATGGTGTCCCAGCACTGCTCTGACTCCCAGATGTCCAGCTTGAGGCACTTCTTATCTTGGGGCGTCGTAAGTCCCTGCTGCACAAGGAGTCCCAGGCCATCCTGAAAGGTGAAAGGCAGACATTTACCACCAGCCAGAGACATTTCTGAGGTTTCCCTCTCTTCTTCTCACCTTGTTAAACAGTTGATTAAAATTTCATTATGATATTTTTATTTTCATAGGAAGTGTAGAAGTTCCTTCTGCTATCTGGAATTTTAGACACTATTATTAGCACACTGAAAAAGCCCAGCCCTCGGTATGCCGCTTTCAAATGGAAAGAGGTAATGCTATGGAAAATGCCTTGTGTAAATGCATCTGTTCAATGGGTATAGAAACAAGGTACTACTTTGGTATGCTGAGTTTTCCCTTTAGCCAGGTACCTAGGGCTTCTTTATATATATTTAATCTGAATTGTCTTTTATAACTTGGTCAACAAACTGAGCTGGACTGAGTAGAATTGGTTATGCAAAATCTTATTCACCAGACAGCTACTAATTGTCAGCTTCAATGGGGAAGAACCTGTGAGCAGTATTTTGGTTCTTTCTACTGGTAGTTACCAGCCATAATTGTCTTCATGACAAATGTTTATGTTTGAAAAAATATGCATGAGTTAGTGATTCTGGCTGTCATTTGTAGGAGCATTAACCTATTTTTTTTAATAAGTTGCTTCGTTTGCATTCCTCTCCTCTCTGTCCCCTCCAAGAACTATCCCATTTCTAATCTTGAATTAAGTACTTCAGTTACAAGGAAAACCACTTTCTTTAGGCATCACTTTATCTCTGGAATTACTCTTTTCCCATGTGGTACATTTCTTCTGAGATAGTAGTTCCTTGTGTTAGCTATAGATTTGAACTCCTGGGAGGATTTTTTAAGAGGGGAATAGAAATTCTATTTTCCCCAGAGTTCTGTTCTAAGAAAATATTGAATATGTATTTTATCTGTGTTCTAGAAATTACTCAAGCACCTGCATTACAGAGATATTAGGAAGTCTGTCAACTCATGAGCTTTAAAACAGAAGGATCTGTCTAGGACATGGGTGAAGTTGTAGTCAGTGAGTCAAAGTCTTGCTCTGGCACTATCTTTTGCATAAATGATCATACAAGTGGTTTGGGGTAGGAAAGTCCAAGACAGCAAACCTGAGATCTTTCATCTTAGCGCTGAACATCTCTATAGTTAACAAATAGGTTGTATTTATGTTCAAGCACCTCCAATGACAATTTCTTTCCAAGCACTAATTGTGCTGAAAGGTCCTCCTAGTTTCCCATCAAGATATTTTCTTTAACCCTAAGTTCACATTTTCGTGTATTTTTTAAAAAAATGTTTCTTTGCATGCACAAAGACAGAGCAAGAGTATCTGCAGACTAGCCTGCTTTGGGAGCTCATTGCACCTTTATATTAATCCGTTGCTTTGCTGAAGGGCAAATGGAGCAACTAATACCCTGAAATATCCATAGAAAAACAGGAGGGAAGTGTCAGTGTAGGTCACAGAACATTCCCTAGAAGCCACCCTTCCTCTGTGCAAATGAAGTGATTTGCTTTGCCACCCAGTTGCCAAGAGAGGCCCTGTGTTATTTCAGTACATCTTCTACTGCAACCTTCATGGCAGCTTTGGCCCCTCAAATACAGTAAGATTTCACTAAATAATGATGTTCCCAGGATGGTCTTGTATTGTTACATGAGAATTACAAAAAGCTCTGCTGTGGAATGTGCTCCCCTCCCAGATGTGTGTATCTACTCCAGTGTCAGCTTTTACTGTGAAAACAAAAGCAGATGTTCTTGCCCATTTTGGATGGCTTTATGCAAGAGAAGGCATGGAGGAATTCCCATACTGGAATGCGCATTTCCCACTGATTTTGATATATACTTTGACACTGGCCAACCCAGGGTCCCCTGTGCCAGGTCTGCCTGGCTCCTGCTGGTAATCTCAGACACCAGTGTGACTTCTCTGATCCCACGTAGGAGGTCTGCAGCAGAAATGGGACTTGCATTCTCTGTGCCCTGACCACAGGGCCATCTGCCAGTTCATTAAGTACTTTCAAGAATAACAACCTCCTCCAGTCCTTCCCACCTCATAATATCTGAAGCAAATGTTCCCCTAGTTTTGATGTACCTCATTCCCAGCAGTGTGGCTAATGACCACTCTAGGGCACTTCTCACTCCCTATAAAGTTGCTTTAAACTGTTTTGGGTTTTTTTCTTATTTAATACTGCCTGTTATCCCTTCCTCTCACCCTCTCCACTGTATAAACACTTTGATTTTCCTATTACCTAGCCTCAGGGTGCTGAAGGCTGCTGTCAGCCTTGCTTTCCTAAGCCTTAGGGGAGTGGAGAATTACAGGGCACTGCCCAAAAGACCTGGTAATGTTATGACATTTGGGCTACATTAAGATGGGGAGGGACAGGCAGCAACTCACTCACACAGCCCTTCTGGGAACTGTGCTTTCCAGGTCCATAACTCCAGCTGTTACAGAGCTGGACAGACAACTCTGACGTATGGTACATCTTCGAAAAGTGCTCCTTCAGAGATCTTTTTTTTTTTGTTAAAGTTGTCTTTCTAGAAGGGAACATAACTGTGCAGGCTGAGCAAAAGGAGGTACCATGTGCTACATGGATATTGCAAGTTGTGGAATAATGTTCTTCATAAGCTGGGTGTTCTTCAGAATTATCCTAAGATGACTTTCAGCTTGTGCTCACATTGATCTTGTATTATAGCTAAGGAATTTACTCTTGTTGAAACACAGACATGAACTGCTGATGCTGTGTACAAAACTTATTTCATTTACATTCTTGTCCCATTTTTTCAACTGGAGAACAGCATCGGTTCACGTAAATTCTATGTCCAATAGAAAGGAAGAAATGGACTTCAAATTTCAGATGTGAAATAACTGGAACTAACAGTCTGTGAATGATTCAAAAGCAGAGAATTCTCTGTAGAACTATTCAACTAATATGTTGAATAATGAATACACTGAAAAAAATAATAGCTTTCCATAGAAAATTTACAGACAGGAAAACAAGGCAATTTTTTTCTGAATAAATGACTGCTTAGTTCTAGCGTCAGTCTAACATTTTAACTCACTAAATTTATACATGCAAGTGTCATTACTGAAATGCACATATTTAAAGAATACAATGCTATGATTAAAATTTTGTGTAAAGTTTTATAAGGAGCATGACTAGATTAAAACAAATTACTGTGAAAGGAAAATTATTACATGTAATAATGTGGTTGTTCTGAATTTTAAAAATATGTTTTTAATGATTCTCAGCTCAATTCCTCTATATTCACTTTTTGTAGTGAATCTGTTTCTGTGATGTGTGTCATATGAATGAGCAATACAATATTTAAAATGCTGGTTTCTAAATGATGATGATATGAAACATTCCTGATCTTTGCCCCACTGGAGTTGTATTACAGTAATTATTCAATCACATAGGAGAAATTTTACCATTATATTTATATTAATTTTGAATTGGTTTGTACTGTAACTGTAATTGTATCTGAACTATGTAATAGAATTTCATTAATTATGACTAGGAGAAGAATTGCAATCAAAGAGGCCTATTGCAGAGCAGAAGGTCATTCTGATGATCAGGAGTATGACACAGGCTGTACATGTCACCATCCAATGCCTGCACCTGTAGCCACCTTCCTTGACTGGTGTGCATTGGTGGCTTTGCTGCAGTTGGGCTATGAGAACAGCCAGGTCAATGGTTCCTTATATATGAACTATCCCAGGAAGGAAGGAAAGGGGTCCTGTGTGAGGTCCCAGATAGCATCTCCTTCCTGACTATTTTAGGCTTCCCCTCTTCCCAGCAGTGAATGCCCCTGTGGACTGCATATACTGTGGATGCTTTGGCTGGTTTTCAGTTAATTCAGTGACTATAGCTTTATCTGTAACATAATTAATGCTGTACAGTGTCATGCTGAGGAGAGAGTCTTTAGAGACAGGTATCTCTTGACAGGTGTCTCAGTCCTTGTAAATATATGCCACCTTTTATATCAAATTTCTCCAACTCCATAATATTTAACTAAATAAGAACAAAACCAAAAGTCAGTGTAATATGACAATTTGGCATTACACTGGTATGAGATCAAGCTGAGAGGATGGTGTGAAGAAGCAGCACAAAACCCTGCAACATGATGCTGTGGAAAGTCAGGAGGAAAAACCAACTCTTGCATCTAGGATATTCAGTAGAAAGCCATTATATCCTCTGCTTTTCCTTGCATTTTCCAATGCCAAGATAAAGGAGGGATATGAGTATCATATAAGGCTGACAATGCTCTCATTTCAATCATGTATCGAATATTTTAATGGGAGCCTACATTGGCTTTTGTGTATGGGTAGGACACAGCCATTTTCCTCTTATATTAGTAAAAATATTTCTGAATTAAATCCTGAGAACTAAATACTCTATATCCTGTGTTTTCTCAAGCTGGGCTGTGCTCTAACCTTGTCATCCCAGTAAAGATATCAGTATGACTACACTTCAAGTAGACTGATTTGTGGTGGTAAAAGACCAGGCTGAAGCCCAGGGCTAGGCCAAGTAGGTCGTGTCAAGTTCATGCCCATCGTGTATTCAAAAGCCATAAATGTTTCTCAGAAAGCCTAGCCCTTGGAAAGATTCCTCCAAGATAACATATGTTTGAGAGAGGGTTTTGTGTTGCTACATTGCCACACAAATGACAAGTATTACTGTCATCATTCTTTCTTCCTTAGCGTTTAACCCGATAGTCTCGCTGGAGTCATAATTTATCAATTGCTAGGAGCACTACAAGATATAGATGGTATGAATCACATACAGCAATGACTGAGGTAGGACTGGCTGGACATGAAAGCTGAGATAGAAGCAGTTTCTAGGGAGGCACAAGGTATTTGAGTAGCCAACTGTTTGTAAGAAAATCTCTCCAGCAGCTGGAGGATGTAATCTGAACAGTACTTCCAAATTTAGTAGAGGTTTCCAGACCCACAACTGTAATCCAGCTATACATTTAGGGCAAGGCACCAGCTTGGTGGGACTTGGCAAAATCCATTAGGTGGACTGGCTCTCCACGGACCGT